AAAAAAAAAAAAAAAGGAAAGAAAGAAGGTGAAATTGTGCCACGAATTGCGGGACTCAGCGTCCGTTACAAAAAAGTGTTTTTGTTTTTGTGTTTTGAGCAAAAATCAAATTAAGTTTCGACAACCTCAATTATTGAATTTTGTTTAGCTTCTTTGTTGTTGTATAAATTAAATAAAGACTTCCTACAAACTTTTTCTGAGTTTTTCTACAGTTTTACGTTTTATACCGCGCCACCTTTGAAGTGTTTGGCGTGATTTTTTAAGTATTGAGAAAAAGTGGTTGAGGCAGAAGGCCCGTATACGGACCACATTATATAAATTTTTGTTCACCAAAGAATCCCTCAGGTTGTGCGGTACACTGAGAGAAAACTCTTTTGATATAAGCTTAGTACAAATAACCCGTGAAATTTTGCGAGCCATAATAAAGTTTTTTTTGCTTGACATAATAAATAAAATTTAAATTGAATATAGTTTGTATATATATTAACTGAAGGTTAAATATATTAAAGAAAGTTATTTTTCTATACACCTTTTCCACGACTTTTTTATTGCGTATAAATTGTAAATACCCCCGAGGTTCAGTCGTACAATTTACGTTTGTTTTAAATTTCTCGCTTTAATTAAATTAATTGATAGTACGTTGTTTTATCAATTTTTTTTGACGTCGTTGTCGATAATTCGCGAAAATAGTAATTTACCTCGAGGTTCAGTAGTACAATTGACGTTTGTTTTTAAATTTTTCGTGTTAATTAAATTAATATTCGAAAGATGGCCAATGTTAATGATTTTTCGCGGGCGTGTGATGCATTGTTGAAATTCGAAGCGGGCTTCAACAACATGCCGTGTAGCAGCCATTCCATTTTTTCACTGGAGATCCAAAAGGAGGAACTGAAGGCGCTCTGGGTCAAGGTGAAGGATGCGTTCGATGACTATTCGAAAAAGGTGTCGGACGACGAAACCGGTCAGGCTGCACTTCGGCTGGCGAAGTGCAGATATCAGGATTGCTACTCAGCATACTTGACGTGCGGCGCATTGATGGGAGAGACGGCTCATAACCTGACGTTCACGCAGCAAAGTAGTTCGACAGTTAATCCGGTAAATCGCGAGATTGAACCCCCAGCCCGCTCGAGTATCCATTTACCTCCATGTGACACAGAAATTTTTTACGGTGATTACATGTCGTGGCCGTCTTTCCGCGATTTGTTTACGGCAATTTATATTAACAATTCGCGTTTGACCCCGGTAGAGAAATTGTACCACTTGAATCGAAAGACCCGTGGTGAAGCGAAAGATATCGTAAAAAAATCGCCTTTGACTAACGACGGTTTCGCGACTGCTTGGCAAAATTTATCCGACCGCTATGAAAATAAGAGGATAATGGTTAATAGCCAATTAAAAACGCTCTTTAACCTACCATCGGTAACGAGTGAACGCGGGACGGAAATTAAAAATTTACAGCGGGCAGTTAATAATTGTATATCCGTTTTAGAAATGTACGGGATTGATATTGAGAACTGGGATGCGATCTTTGTGTTCTTAGTATCGAGTCGGTTACCGGATACCACGCTGGCGTTGTGGGAACAAGGCATTGTGAGAAAGGCGGAAATTCCAAAGTGGGAGGAATTAGACAGCTTTCTCACAAGTCGGTTCCAGACGTTAGAAACGGTGTCCGATATCCGAAGTGCACGCGCAGTAAAGCCTGTACCTAATCGCCAACCCGCAGCGACGTACGAAAGGAAGGTATCGGCACACCACGGTCAGTTTTCGCAGCCCGCATGCAGATTATGCCCCGAGCAATCTCATGCTCTAAAGGGCTGCCCCAAATTTCTGGCAATGAAAGTTGAGGATCGCCTCAACTTAGTCAGAAAACACAATTTGTGTATGAACTGCCTAGCGCATTCACACATCGCGAAGGATTGCAAGAGTCCGTTTGATTGTTGGAGCTGTCACCAGAGGCATCATTCACTATTACATCGAACTTTAGCTCCACAGAAGGCCAACTCTTCGCAACAGCGACCCCCCCCGAGGAATAAGGACTCACGATCTGAGCAACCCCCCGCAGGCACCAGCAATGTGCAGGCGCTTTTTGCGGCGAGCAACCGGAACATTCTTTTAGGTACTGCTATGGTGAACATCTGCCACTCAGGAGTTAACTATGAGGCCAGAGCCCTACTGGATTCTGGATCAGAGGGAACTTTCATCACGGAGCGACTACAGAGACTCATCAGGCTGCCAACGCGTGCGGTTGATACGCAGGTATCGGGCATAAATGCCACGGTATCGGCAAATGTGCGAAAAGTCGCGCATCTGGCTATAGGTTCTCCTATAAACCCCCAGTTTAGAATCGAGGCAAGAGGTCTGGTTCTACCCCAATTAACAGGAAACCTCCCGAAGTTTACAGTGGATCAAGGGCATCTTGATTCACTGCCCCCCTTACGGCTAGCCGATGTCAATTTTTACAGGAGTCAGCAAGTGGACCTAATTCTTGGAGCGGATGTTTACCCAGCAGTCATAAGGGACAAGGTCCAAAGGAATGTTCTGGGGTCACTCGTAGCGCAGGAAACGGTGTTCGGCTGGATTTTGACGGGACCAATACCACCAACGACCACGAGGAGTTTCACTACTTCTGTGTCTTACGGCGCAGAAACTCCAACCCCCCAGCTAACTCGGGTTTGGGAGTTAGAAGAAGTTTCCACCAAAAGGAAAATTACCCCCGAAGATGCGTTTTGTGAGGAGTTGTACGCTAAGACGACCACGAGGAATGAGCAAGGACGGTATGTGGTGGCTCTACCTTTTCGTCGGGAATTCCCAGACGAAATTAACCTCGGCCTTTCAAGGACTGGAGCAGCACGGCAATTCTTGCGCAGCGAGGCCGGTTATATCAGGAAACCGGAGTTAAAAACGGAATACGACCGGGTTCTGAAGGAGTACATCGAGCTCAACCATATGTGCCCCGTGAGGAAAACAGCGCAACAACCAGCACACAGGCCATACTACTTACCACATCACGCCGTCGTGAAACCGGACAGCATAACAACGAAGGTGCGAGTGGTGTTTAACGCATCTTGTCCCACGTCAAATGGAGTCAGCTTAAATGACATATTACCGGGGTATAATATGTCATTTATGCCTATTCTGCAAGCGGATTTGGTTTGCTTACTTTTAAAGTGGCGCTTATTCAAATACGTATTTAATGCAGACATCGAGAAGATGTATAGGCAAATTATGCTCCATCAGGAGCATACCCCATTTCAAAGAATTCTTTTCAGAGAATCCCCGGACGAAGAAATTAAGGATTACGAACTTAAGACCGTGACGTTTGGAGTAAACTGCGCTCCATATTTGGCAATAAGGACGCTACACCAGCTCGCAGATGATGTGAAAACGAGATTTCCACTGGCAGCAAAGATTTTGAAGCAGTATATGTATGTCGATGACGTCCTAGCTGGAGCCCACGATTGCACAACTGCAATACAAATGAGAGATGAGGTAATTGAAGCTCTTAACACCGCCAGCTTCCCACTAAGAAAGTGGACTTCGAATTGTAAGAAGATTTTGGCAGGACTACCCAAGGCGCACATATACAAGGAGAATTTCCTGGAGCTTGACGACATGAGTGAGACAAAAATGTTGGGAATCCGTTGGAACGCGGTACATGACATGTTTCACTTCACAGTACAGCCGATCCCCCGGAAGCAGGAGTATACCAAGCGAGAGGTTTTATCCTGCGTAGCAAAATTGTTCGATCCAGCTGGATGGCTCGGACCAATTGTAGTGGTGGCAAAGATCTTCATGCAGGAGATCTGGCTAACCAAAATAGACTGGGATGACAGTCTACCCCGAAATTTACTGCTACGTTGGGAGACCTTTCTGGATAACTATGAGCATATCCAGAAGATAAAAATCCCCCGATGGACCCATTTTACGCCATGGGACGAAGTGGAGTTCCATGGATTCTGCGATGCCTCTGAAAAGGCATATGCAGCCGCACTATATATTAGGGTACGCGATCGCGCATCAAACAATGCGCCCCACATAAACTTGTTGGTTGGTAAAACAAAAGTAGCACCAGTAAAAACGGTGTCTCTCCCCCGGTTAGAGCTCTGCGGAGCATTATTACTGGCCGAACTAATTAATACTTTTATTCCGCAGTTTGAAGTCACGCAGCCAGTAATATACAAATGGACCGACTCCACGATCGTACTCTCGTGGCTTAGGAAACCGGCATGTACATGGACAACGTTTGTAGCTAACAGAGTCGCAAAAATTGATGAGCTGGTTGGAGTGTCAGGGTGGAACCATGTGGACTCTGCTGATAATCCAGCGGATCTTGGCAGCCGAGGCGTGTCCCCCCAGGATTTACTCGCAAGCACTCTGTGGTGGTATGGACCTAAGTGGCTGGAGCAAGATTCATCTACTTGGCCCCACCAAGCCAATAGAAATCCATTAGAAACCGACCTGGAGCAAAAAACGGTACGGGCTCATGCGGCAGGCATCTCCGAGGAAATGGACATTCTGGAGCGATTTTCAGACTTCTCGCGAGCCATGAGAGTAATTGCGCGAGTTTTCCGATTTTTTAGAAAAACTCATCCGGTGCATAAGTTGGCCGCTAGTGACGAGACAGACGAAATAACCTCCGATGAAGTAAAGCAGGTAAAATGTCGTCTCATCCTTATTGCACAGAGGCGTCACTACACAGATGAATACAGGGCCATCATCGCTTCAACGCCAATCAACGCGAAAAGTTCACTTCGCGCTCACAACCCCTTCCTCGACAGGAACGGAGTAATGAGGGTAGGAGGACGACTGGCGTTAACGAACATACCTTACAGTGAACGGTATCCAATAATTCTCCCGTACGACTGCCAGTATTCAAGATTGCTCGTAAAATTCACACATCTGATTTCCTTGCACGGAGGAAACCAGCTCATGTTGAGAATTTTGCGGTCCGAATACTGGATAGTGCGAATGAAAAACGTGATTAAAAATTCAATTCATAACTGTAAGGTCTGTGTTATTTACAGAAAGAAGGCGCGGGAGCAGTTGATGGCAGCGTTACCACCGGAACGGACTGAGGTATCCAGACCCTTCACCAACACTGGAGTCGACTTCACCGGGCCCTTTGAGATAAGGAGTTTTACGGGTCGAGCTTGTCGTATTACCAAGGGCTATGTCTGCGTTTTCGTCTGTTTTGCGACAAAGGCAATACACTTGGAGGCCACCAGCGATTTGTCCACCGCCACATTTTTAGCAGCTTTTGCGCGTTTTGTGTCTAGACGCGGCTGCCCGCAAAATATGTATTCGGACAATGGAACCAATTTTGTAGGGGCGAATAAGGCATTGCAACAGGATTTTAAGCTCTTTGTCACTGCAGCGGCCAACAGCACAACTCAGACATACGCTCATCAGGGCATTACGTGGCATTTTATACCTCCAGGAGCACCTCACATGGGAGGGCTCTGGGAAGCGGGGGTAAAAAGCTTCAAGATGCATTTCAGGAAGGTAGCGAACAACATGCGTTTTACCATTGAGGAGCTCTCCACGCTTCTGGCAAGAATCGAATCTTGTCTTAATTCACGACCAATCAGCCCCATCTCTGAAGACGCGGAATCAATGGAACCTCTAACCCCAGGACATTTTTTGATTGGCACCCCGCTACTGGCACTCGCTGAACCCGAAATTAAGGAGAACCCGATGTCTATTGTCAACCGGTGGCAAAAGATCAAGGCGATTCACCAGACATTCTGCAGAAGGTGGAAAGCAGAATACCTGAAGGAATTGCAGAAGAGAGTGAAGTGGCACTCCCCCCAACGAAACCTCGAAGTTGACGATCTAGTCGTCGTCAAAGAGGATAACCTTCCCCCAAATGAATGGCGACTTGGCAGAGTAATTAGGGTCTTTTCAGGTCAGGACAGCCGAGTACGAGTCGTAGAAATACGAACGGCACGCGGAATTATAACTCGACCAATTGTAAAATTGGTACTTTTGCCAGATTGACAAAACAAAATAATAATCGTATCTCTCTTTACAGAACTCAATAACGCAAAATGGTACGTGCAACCAAGAGCAACACCCAAGCTAACAAGGGCCAATACCGCTGCCCAGTGTGCCGCAGCAACCACCGCCTGGCTTTTTGTCGCGAGATGCGCAGGATGGAACCGGTCGAGAGACTGCGTGCTGTCCTCGTGCACCGCCACTGCGCCAACTGCCTGTCGCCGCATCACACGGCGAAGAATTGCGCATCGCCCCGAAAATGTGAGCATTGCCGAGACCGGCACCATAGCCTTCTCCACCTGGGCGAGGCGCCCCGAGATGAGGAAGACATGCTACTGGGATTGGTCGAGCCAGAGATCCGTCAGCGACGACCGTTCCGCCCGTACACCATCCGGCCATTAGCCGAAACAAGCGACGAAGGTGAGGTGCTGGAAATCGACGCCGATGAAGAAGACCTCCAACAAGCATTGGGGGATGATCCCGAGCTTAGTGCACCGCCGGCATTCAGACCTGCTCTGTCGGGTGTCCGGTCGGTAGTGCAGCGAGCCCCAGCAACGAGGTCGAAGCGCCGAGGCGCACACCGACGCCAACGGCGATCCCAGCAACAACCCCACCGCCGTGGTGTGAGAGACGCCCGAGAGCGGATTACGGGCACGGCCCGTAGCGCTCCTAGGCTATCTGTCCTCACACCCACAGTAGCGGTTAAGGTAATGACCCGAGGGAGGACGCAAGTAGTGCGCGCCATCGTCGACCCAGCACAGCCCAGGTCGACAATATCGCTTCAGCTGGCACGCCAACTTCGAGTTTTGCCACAGGGCTATGCAGATGTGTGCAGGCTCACGCTCAAAGGGTGGCATGAAAGGCTGGATATTTGCGCCGACGTGCAACCAGGCCTCTCTCGGGTAACCCCCCCTCGCACGCTGGATGCCAGGATTACCAACGAGTTCGACAATTTTCGGCTGGCCGACCCGGGCTTTTACAAATCTAGCGCCGTATCACTAGTCCTAGGAGCCGAAATATACGCAATGATCCTGCGTCCGGGACTCATGCCAGCCACCCCCACTCGACCAACGGCACAGAACACAATGTTCGGGTGGATGATCTCGGGAGGCACCATCTATTAGTGGACTACCAGAAGCAATTGGCCTGAAATCCAAAAAATGAATTTTTTAATGAATTTATGAATTGTAAAATGAAATAGAAAAAAATGAATTGTAAATATCTAGTTAAGTTTATTGCAGCGACACTGCAAGGCGGGCGGCATGTTTACGCTAGCCCCCTTCACCTTAAGTATGTTTATGAAGTAGAGAATTTCACTTGTAGATGTCGCTGTGATCTAAGCGGGAACAGCTACTCGTTACTCGAGGTCCTTTTTCTCGAGTCCTGTTACCCGCCTCGGATGTTAGGTTTCGCCTTCTGCGATCGCCCAACACTCTGCCACTTTGGAAGAGAACTCCGAGCAATCCACAAGTAAGGTCCTCTAATATTAATCATTTTATATACCATTTTGTTACAGCATTTTTTATATACACATATATATATATAATAAAGTGGCCGTTAGGCGCTTACATATATATATACATATATACGAGTAAAAAGTGAAGTGTTTTTATTTAATTTTATTGAGCGAATTTAAGTGTGTTAAATTCAACCCTCGAAGGACTTCAGGGATTCGGCACCTCCTGGACCCTCGTTTGCCGCGGAATTCAAGAGGAATTCCCGGCCCCCAAATCACCCCGTCCCGAACACTGTTTTTACTATTTATTAGTAGTCGTTACTCGTTTCGGTTGCATACACACATACATAGGTCTAACATTATTACACTTGATAGCAGAACAAGCAACGGCATGTAAAATGAAGATTAACAAATTTTTGAAATATTTCATTGTGATTTATAAAACACACTCCCCTACTTAGATACATTTACGTTCGCGGTATTAAGTTGTTGCCTGGGAACACACCCAGTAAAATTTTCCAAAGCATAATTTTTTAAAATATATCAATCCTCTAACGAACTCCCAATTTGCTTTTTGCGGGGTTTCTTGAAATAAGGGTAAAAAAAAACATTTCAGGGGGGAGCTAATGGGCTAAAATGTTCTACGAAAATATTTCCTATAAAATTTAACTATATATTTCATAAACGTTAATTTTGCCATTTTTTTACATCTTTTGAAAACTACTTAGATATGTACATCCAAACTTTAGTAGGCCATAAAACGAAAATACGAGCAAAATTTTGCAACTCCATCGAATGTTTTATTACTGGATATGTATACTTTTTGGTTTCAGGCGAAATCTAGCACTTTTAACTGAAAAGTTCAAAATGAATGAATATAAAAAAAAATTAAAACAAATTTTTTAGTTTATTGTGCACCAAAAAAATGAAATAAATCAAGGTTTCTGAACTCTAAATGGTAAGTATAATCACCGAAATGAACATATTTGAGTACATATGTACTTACCTGTAGCTTTTAGTAACCTTAACAATGGCCTTGACCTATTTTTATTAATATTTTATTATTTTTTAGGACGTATGTTAAATAAAAGTTTGTTAAAAATTTTTTTTACATTATTTTTTTCGGCTTTAGCCCAATTCTGTATCGGTGACAAAAATTTTTTACTGACAAATTTAAATTTTTTTCGTAATAAAAACTGTGACAGGAATTTGTCACTGATAGAGAATGGAACCGTTATTATATGCGTAACTTAATAAACAAAATTTATTTTTCAAGAGACAGTCCAAACAAATCCAGTCTCCTTTGGCGCAATTTTAAAATTTTATATCTAGCCAACCACCACATACAAAAAAATTAGCTTCAGATTAAAAAAATTAAAAAAAAAAACAAATTAAAGCAATTTACCTTGCCACATTTAAGAATTATGCACATACAACTCTTGCAACGAAATATAGAATTGGTGAGCATTTACCGAAAGCCACTTTTCTGCTTAAAAGTGAAATGAGAATGAAAACCTTCCAACAAAGAATGGCACACATCGCGCGGAGGCAGTGAGTCAGAAGCGGGTGCAAAAGCAATGTAAAAACGCATAATGCCCATTGTTCCCATTTTCATGGCCACAAGCTTGATTGTTGTAAGCTGCCACAGTCATAAACAAGGACAAGAAAAGAATTTCGTTAAGTTGTAGAATTGTGCTTGCACGCGAAGAAAAACATTAAAAAATAAAGTAATACAAAAATATTTGTTCACAGTAGTTACTCGTATGTAAAGAAGATGGTCTAGATGCCAGAGGTAGCTACCTTGAAAAGACGTACCTTTGCTTCTACTTAATAGGTGGAACCACAATCTTCGAGTTGTAATCTCCGTTTTTCAAACGGCATAAACTGCAGTTAAGGCTAGGTGGAAATCAACTATTAGAGCGAATTGCAGATAAAAAAAGTTAAATGGCACTTAACCCTCCAACGCATACGAACCCAAATATGGTGCCACTACTATGGCAATTCTTTCCCACCTAACGAGTCCTTTAAAAATATATTTAACTAATTAAATGCATTGCGAAGGTAACCACGAATAACGGAACGTAATTGATTTGCCTATGGTTAGATGACATTTGAATATAACCTCAATTTTGTGTGCGTGTTCGAAAAACGTCAATTCGAAAAATACAAGTTGTTCTTGTAAAACAAAATATATTTTCTTAATTCACACATCCTCTTCTGTGTCAAACAATAAATGGTTTACCACTACCCAAATGTTTTCTATTGTTTTCATACAATTTTCCATATATTTCTTTGCAAAATAAAATGTGAAATAAAGACTAGGAGTCGTTTTTCTTTCGATATGGGTTTATTGATACGTAAATAGCGTGCTTTTTATAGTTAAAACTTTTTTATTCATCTCCATCATAATTCATGCAGTAGAGGGTTAAGCTGAATTTTGGATTTTTATTTAAATCCCATTTAACTTCTGTAGATTTTCAGATCACTTGTCTTTAAATATGCCAAACAAGTGGCACCACTGTTGCTCTTTCATTGAAATTGTTGCTGCATGTGTTGGTTTGTTTACCTTTTTATGCTGAACAGCTGATTGTTGCTTGACACAAACACAGGGTTGCATAACTAGTATTAAAATAGCCAATAATGGTAATTTGAGTACAGTTTAAACATTTGATCTGAAAATGAATTTTTGACGTTAATAAACAATCTCTACTTAAATAGCTCTTCTGAAATTGGGTCTTAAACTATGATATATCGTCGACGAGTTTGTCTCGAGGACAAAATTTTTTGTTCCGAAATGCATTGACCCGTTCTAGTACTTACCCATCAGATATAATTCCCTACCATCTAATGTCGATACACTAAATCTCACCAAAAATCATTGAACCATTGAAAATTGTTATTGCTGCCACAAAAAAAGGAAAAAGCCACCTCTGGGTCTTGCCAAAAAAAAAAAGTTTTTTCTGAAACTGCCTTGCAAAAATACTCTAAACTCAGGGGTGTACGAGGAATTTTTTATTTTTTGTTTACTTGTAATGTAAGACGGTTTAATGTACATACTTACATATTTAAAATCAGCAAAAATCACAAAAATAGGTGGTTGTTACCGAAGTCACACAGAATCACAAAAACCACAACAACCTTACTATTACAATAAACCAATTTTAATTTCTAATTAGTTTTAAGAATACCCGCATTAATGGCTTTTGGTACGCACCTTTTTAAATTTACGGCACAGATAATTTCACTGCAACAATCTATGCTGTTATGGCTGCAGATATTGATGCCTTGATGATGTCGAGTTGAGGCCGAAATCGCTGGCTTCGGATGCGGAAAGCTACCTACGAGCTGCTCTTGGGACTACGTTTGGTGTTTTCATCAAAATCTGTACGTACGATTTTGTAGTTGTGTATGTTTCCGTTGCTGCTAATTGGCGCCGAATTTTTCGCGCTTTCCCTTTTCGTTTTTTTTTAATCTTTATTCCCTGCAAATGAAGATAGGGTTTCGTATTGTTGCTATCGCGTTTTTATCAGCGCATCCGGCAAATTACACTGGAAATCAAATCAAAAACAAAGCAAGAGAAGTCAAAGCCAAAAGTTGGTCGAAAGCGTGAGGAAATTAGCTCGCTGAAGTTT